TATTACTGGATTTGGCATATCAATTTGGTCTATTTGGCATAGACCACGGATAGCTTGCCAGGCTCTGCCGTGTGGGTTGGATATTTAAGGATATTTAAGGTATCCTGAAAATTTAGAGAAAATTAAATAAATAGTCGTGCGGCCGCAAATGCGGCCGCGCGCTCCCGGGAGCTTGTTGTGATAATCTTTGGATCCTGGCCTTTGTTGGGGTTACACGGCAGTTGGAGGGTGTAACTGTCTAGCTACTGACAGGTCCAGTCCCAAACCGTGCAGGCTTAGAGATCTCAGTCCCGGGTCCCACACACCTGGGTTCCTCTGCCAGTTCGGTTATGTCTGAGGCTTATCCAAGTGTGTGGAGAGTGGCTCCAGTAAGGCCTTGGTTGGGGCCTGGAAGTCTTCAGCTGTTGGGCCCTGGCGAGGATAGTCAGACACAGGGTAGGAGACTCTGCCTTGTGCTCTCCCGGGAGCTTGTTGTGATAATCTTTGGATCCTGGCCTTTGTTGGGGTTACACAGCAGTTGGAGGGTGTAACTGTCTAGCTACTGACAGGTCCAGTCCCAAACCGTGCAGGCTTAGAGATCTCAGTCCCGGGTCCCACACACCTGGGTTCCTCTGCCAGTTCGGTTATGTCTGAGGCTTATCCAAGTGTGTGGAGAGTGGCTCCAGTAAGGCCTTGGTTGGGGCCTGGAAGTCTTCAGCTGTTGGGCCCTGGCGAGGATAGTCAGACACAGGGTAGGAGACTCTGCCTTGTGCTCTCCCGGGAGCTTGTTGTGATAATCTTTGGATCCTGGCCTTTGTTGGGGTTACACGGCAGTTGGAGGGTGTAACTGTCTAGCTACTGACAGGTCCAGTCCCAAACCGTGCAGGCTTAGAGATCTCAGTCCCGGGTCCCACACACCTGGGTTCCTCTGCCAGTTCGGTTATGTCTGAGGCTTATCCATGTGTGTGGAGAGTGGCTCCAGTAAGGCCTTGGTTGGGGCCTGGAAGTCTTCAGCTGTTGGGCCCTGGCGAGGATAGTCAGACACAGGGTAGGAGACTCTGCCTTGTGCTCTCCCGGGAGCTTGTTGTGATAATCTTTGGATCCTGGCCTTTGTTGGGGTTACACGGCAGTTGGAGGGTGTAACTGTCTAGCTACTGACAGGTCCAGTCCCAAACTGGATCTTTGGATCTTTGGATCCTGGCCTATGTATTATATATATTTAATAAAGATTGGCTGACTTCAACCATATACGCCATCAAATGTGATTTGATACTCTTGTTATATCAGTGACATCATTGCATGAAGTGCTCCTGGAATTCTAAAATTTTTTCATAGGGTGCTAGACTTGGAGTTAATTTTTTTTAACTGGATGGTGATTTTAGGATCCGGAGGCATCTCTGCAGCATGTTGCTCTCTTCGGAGATTCATTTGTGCATCTGGATCTTAGCCATTAATGCGCTTAAATGGCACCCAGAGGCAGTTTGTGGGCGTGACTGCGGAAAAGCAGAAGCTCAGGGAAGTGGGTAGAGGGGGCCCATTCCCGACTCTAGAAGCCTGTATTTCAGTCACAAGTCCTGCATACCTGGGTTTTTCAGAGGATTCAATCTCATGCATGGGGGGAATCGGGAAGCCTCTGAGGGTCGGCTGTGAGCATGACTGCCTTTATTTTATGCCTGCAGTGTCTACCTTATTCTAGGAGGGAGTTATGTATCTGTTGTTAGATATAAAAGGAAAAAGTGAAATTTTCAAAATTTTTCCCTTCCAAGAACTCAGTGGTCTTTAAGGATGTGCTTGTGAATTTCACCTCAGAATTATGGGCTTTGTTAGAATCATGCCTAGGCTGTCCTCTGGAAATGTCTTAGGTGGATTGTTGCACTAAATTTAAAAACAGTGCATAAGGCCCCTAGGAATGTTGTTCAGTGATAGAGTATCTGCATTTCAAAAATGAAACCACGAATTAGCTTCTCAGTCTCTCTCTCTATATAAATTTCATTTTTAGCAGCACTGCCATTTGTGATCCACTGTCCACAAAAACTTGTGAAATCTATAGCACACCAAAACCATATGCTTATGATTACCAAAACTAAGTTGTATGACCCATTGAAAGCAACACAGTGGTGTAAAGTGCCAAACCTAAGTGTAAATCCTGTTAAGCATTCCAGCCAAAGAGTGTGAGCACCACAACTGAAATTTGTGATCTGCCTGCTAATATAAGTAAGTGTATTTGCATCACAACAATAGCAACACTAACAAAGAAGTGAAGGGGGAAAACAGAGCTAAAAATAAAGACAATGGAGCAAATCCTGACTGGGATATATGGGGAATGAAATATCCAATGGAGAGAAACTAGTGAGTTTTATAAGAAATGATTACTGTTTATTCTTTTTAGAAAACCAGACATTTAATAACAGTGGAGATCAACATCAAACCCAGGAGAGGTTTCTGAGATGTCATTTGAAGGAGAAATTTTGTGAAATAATACAGTGAATGTGCAGAAACCTCAAACCATATTACAGATTTTCTTGTGCATGAGAGTTTTACTACTGGAATAAAACTGTATGAATATAGTAAGCTTAATAAGTTTTCCCCAATTGTTTTTAACATAAGAACCAGCAAAGACTTCAAACCTTATCAATGTGAGGAAAGTACACAAGCATGTCTTATGTCTAAATTCTAATATGGAAATAAAAATAGAAAAACTGTATCTATCATGATGCTGCAAGAGCATCTAAGACATGTGGGAAGAATATTTTTAGTGTAAGAAATTTGAAAAAAACTTGAAGTTGCCTTGATAGATCAATATGTACAGAAAATTCATGCATGTAAAGTATATGGAGAGATCTTTGTGCATTAATCTTGCCTTCCACACGTTATAAAACATCACACTGACAAGAAACACTGTGAATATTAGGATTGTGGGAAGACTTTGAAATATTGCTCACATTTTCAAGAACATAGCAAGAACATGGTGGAGAAAAACCCTACAAATATTTCAACGTGAAAGCTTTCATTTTCCAGTTCCCTGCAAGAATAAGTGAGAATGCACAGTGGAGCCTGTGAATGTAAGGAATGTGGGAAAGCTTTCAGTTACCCCTGATACCTTTGAGAACATGTCAGAATGCACAGTAAGAGAAGACCCTAAGAATATTAGCAATAAGAGAAAGCTTTAAAATGTCATTTATCTCTTTATGGACACATGAAAGAGCAACGTGTTTTGTGAAATTCTCTGAACATGAGAAAGCTTTTACTTTTCATATTCTCCATTAACAGAACATAATAGCACAGATATTGGGGAAACCTTATGGATGTGAGCAGTGTAGCATAATCTACAGTGATTCTTCAACTGCTGCAAGCCTGTGTGAGGACACACACTGGATAGAAATTGAACATAAGATCCATATGAAACCCTTAATTCTCTCTTCAGACATGTCATAAAATGCAAGCAAGCACATTGGAATTTTGGAAATTCTTCCCTGTGTGACTCTTCACTTATTTTGTATATATAGACTAGACAAGCCAACATATTTTATCATGATAAATGCAAGTTTGTCTTTGTCAGATACTCATCCTTAATATGTATCCCTAGAATATTCATTTACATTCTTGCTGATATGTAATATATAATAAATAGTCCTCTTATCCCCTTCATTTGTAACAATACATTTTCTTATTTTGGACTTTAAGTTGTACACTTGTATAATTTTTTTCTCATTTTCACAGGAAAGGAAGAAATATAAAAAGTTGGAATTAGCCCAACTGTTCATTCCAAAGTTGAAAATATTTTTTAAGATTATGTTCAGAAGACAAAATGTTGCATGCTGTTCATGAAATAGAATTTCAAACAGTTATTTTTGGTCTAGAGCAGCATGTAAGAAAACAGCTGGTGTAACATGGAAACTAAGATGTTCCAGCTATTTATGAAAACCATTAACTACATATTTTTATAATTACCTATTAAATACTACTTACTTTTGCTGTAAAATTGTTTAATGGGATGCAATCAGAATGTTCTACTTCAGTTGTAAATATCAACCATATAAAATTTTCAATAGTTTTAAAATCAGGTAATGGCTTGTAGGTATAACATTAAAGAATCTGCCTATATATTTTAACATCCTATATCACATTTTCAGTACACATGTTTAAGAAAATGACATATAAATTATTCTAGAACAACCTCCCTTGAGATGAGCATAAGCCATATGCCCTAAAGATTACCTTAAATGATTCACAATTTTCTAGAAATAAATAGATACAAATATTAAGAGATTGCATAACAGTTATGGACAGTGCATACACTTTTTATGGTACCTATTTCTAATTGATACATTGTATACTCTATTTTACACTGACCTTCACTTACGCAAAGGTTCATTTTAGGCAATGTGGGTGAAAAGCATATCCATTATGAGGTGTGTCCATCAACCGAAAGACTGTCTTATTAAAATTTTTAAAGCAATTTTATTTTACTTTTTAAAAATTTAATTTAATTTTTTTAGATTTTATTTTATTTTTTTATAAAGTTGTGCACAATAATTTATTGCACTCAAAATTCCAACACCAATCCCACCACCATTACACCTTCCCACCAGCATTATTTCAAATTTTCCCAACTACCACCCAAAGCCTACCCCAATAGCAGGCCCTAAGTAATTTATTTTATATTACTTGTTAATGAATAATCCACTAAAGAGGATCAATAAATTTCCTTAGAAAAAGTGTGTGGAGATTTTTTTATCTCACCTGGGAGCTATGGAGCCCTTGTCTAAGAGATTACTAACATGTTACAGGTTGAGCTTTTTGTGCTAATTTTTTTTTCTTTTGATCGAGATTGGTTGCAGTCTACTTTACACCCCATCCAATGTGGTGTGCTACTCCTGGTATATCAGTGGCATAGAATATGAGATGTCACACTAAAAACAATTTTAATATAGTTTATATGCATAAAAATAATTTTTATCCATATAAAAGTACAACAAAAAGACTACCTCTTAATATTTTCTATTTGCTTTTTTTTTCAGGGAGAATTGCCAAGTGTTCGCTCTAAGTTCCATGTTCTTTTTCTCCTCTTCGTGGCCTGCATGTTTTTTGTCAGCCTTGTGATTCTCTTTGGTTACCATTGTTGGCTTCTCAGCAGGAATAAAACCACCTTAGGTAAGATTCAGCATTAAGATTAAGAAAGTAGTAAAGTAAAAGTAAAGGCCCTCCCGTTGATAGTCGATTTGCTCGAGCGGGCCCAGTAACGTCTCTATTGAAGACTTTTGTTGTTACTGTGTCTGGCATATCGAATACTCTCGGTAGCTTGCCGGGCTCTCCGAGAGGGGTGGAGGAATCGAACTCGGGTTGGCCATGTTGGCTACGTGCAAGGCAGACGCCCTACCCGCTGTGCTGGTGGTTCAGTGGTGGTTCAGTGGTAGAAGATTAAGAAAGAAATAAAAATATATTACAGTGGCATATAGATTGTTCTGAGGAAGAGAAACATCAGTTTATATGTATTTTTTTAAAAAATCAAATGCACACAAACATAATTATTAGCCACAAAAACATCCCTTTCCTTGTGAATTGTGACAGATGTGCACAATTTTTTTCAAGACTAGAAAATCATAGTGAATGAAAGTTACAGACTAAAGAAAGCAGTAATGAATAAAACCTTGCCCCAAAGCAAAAATTACCATTGCTCTTTTTCTTTGAAATTGGGCAATAGCATTCTCCTACCTTAGATTTACACTTCAAAAAATTTCTAAATGTGTTTGTACAAGTAAGTAAAGAAACTGTACCAAATGGAATATCAAATACAGGAGATTGAGATGAACAGAAATAGAATACTCTAATTTATTGAACACATGGAGAATCCTCAGAATTAATAAAGGAATTAATAATTTAATATCTATAATAACCAAGTAATTATGTGGGGAATATAGTAATGAGATAAGCACTGAACTGGTAAGTCTCTAGAAGTTCACTGTAAGAAGTGATTAATTTTTGTCTGCTATTCTTTACTTTGAACTGCTATTTATATAGGTGTCTATATATATTGGATGGATCTGAATATAGTAATTTTTCATCTAAGGTGAAATGAATATTTACATTTTGTATAAACCACTGCATGAACAATGAAAAGATAGTGTCTAAATGTTGAATGTTTAGCTGGAATACAGTTAGCTAAGTTTAGTGTAAAAGCCACGATATCTGAAACTCATTTGCTAGTAATGCTAACAGCTGGCTGGAGCTATAGCACAGCAGGTAGGGCATCTGCCTTTCACCCGGCCCATGCAGCTGACCTGAGTTCGATTCCTCCGCCCCTCTCAGAGAGCCTGCCAAGCTACTGAGAATAGCTCGCTCAGCAAAGCCTGGCAAGCTACCCTTGATGTATTTGATATGCCAAACACAGTAGCAACAAGTCTCACGATGGACATGTTACTGGGCTCACTTGAGCAAATTGATGAAGAATGGGAGGACAGTGCTACAGTGCTTAATCACTTAATCACTTAACTTCCCGTTAGTCATTGATTTGCTCGAGTGGGCGCCAGTAACGTCTCCATTTGTCCCTGTCGCATGCTAGTGTAGCCCAATGGCATCTGTTCGCTCTGGGAACATGAAGAGCCTCAAACCGATCGTTCATGATCTTGATGAAGAAGTCTGACCATCTGGTAGGTGGGCGGCCACGCGGTCTTTTAACATCTCGTGGAATCCAGTCAGTAACAGCTCTAGTCCAGCGGTCGTCTTTAAATCTCATTACGTGACCAGCCCATCTGATTTTCGACAGCTTGGCAAACGAGACAGCGTCCCTGATTCTTGATCGTCAACAGATGTCGGAACTCCGGATTCTTTCTCTCATTTGACTGAAACGTGATATTCCAAGCATGGTTTGTTCAATTTCTCTTTGGGAGACCCGAATAGCGTTCTCATCCTGTTTGTGTAGGGCCCAGGTCTCTGAGGCATATGTTAATGCAGGAAGAACAGTGGAATCAAAGAGATGTGCCCGGAGCCGGAGGTTCTTCGTCCTCTTAGCTATTTCTTCGACGCTCTTGAAGGTGTTCCAAGCCGCTGTCTTCCTCCTGCGCAGCTCGGGTGCCAGGTCATTTGTCATGTTGACTTCTCAACCTAGGTACACATAGCTGTTGCATTCAGAGATGGTCGTTCCGTTGAGAGCGAATGGGGCGTGAGGAACGAGGCTGTTTCTCATAAACATTGTCTTCGTAAGATTCAGCTGTAGTCCTACCTTTCCACACTCACGGTCAAAGTCGGCCAGCATTTGTGCCGCTTGGGTGATGTTTGGTGTTATTAAAACAATGTCATCAGCAAAGCGGAGGTGGTGTAGTTGCCGACCATCTATCTTCACTCCCATTCCTTCCCATTCCAGTCGTCGCATGATGTTCTCGAGGGTGCCACTGAAGAGTTTCGGTGAAATGGTATCACCCTGCCGAACCCCTCTCTTGACATCAATGATTACTTCTTTGTAGAATGGTGAGATCCTGGTAGTGAATCTGCAATACAGCTCACGGAGGATCTTGATGTATTGGGCTTGAATGCCCTGATTGGGTAGGGCTTCAATGACCGCTTCCATCTCAACAGAATCAAAGGCCTTCTTTAAATCAATGAATGTTAAACAGAGCGGCATCTTGAACTCCCGAGAAACCTCAATAAGCTTGGTTATCGTGTGGATATGGTCTATGGTGCTGAATCCTTTGCGGAACCCGGCTTGCTCGCATGGTTGTCCTTCATCTAGTGTTCTGCCAATCCTATTTAGGACGACTCGAGTGAACAACTTGTAGATGACAGACAGTAGGCAGATCGAGCGATAGTTGCCAATGTCATGGATGTCTCCCTTCTTGAACAGTAGTACGGTCCTGCTGGTTTTCCATTGGGACGGACCCTTGAATTCAGGCAGGTAGCATGTGAAGAGCCGAGCCAGCTCAGCTTGGCTACAGTGCTAACAGCTAAGAATTCATTTGCACAATTTTATTTAGGTGAGGGCCACTCAGTAATCTGGGAATGCTACTGGCTCTGTACACATGGCCATTCCTGGTAGTGCTTGGTTTGTATATGTCATGTCGGGTATTGAACCGGGTTGGGTGTATGCAAGGAAAGTGCCTTCACTGTTGTGCTATCTCTCAGTAACCTGCACTCATTTTCTAAACCGAATACACAAACACACACAAGTTGCTAGGGTGATTATTAACAGATTTGACTTACAGATCATCAGAAACAGAAAAATATTAAAAGCTTATATAGCAGAGTCTGCAAACAGGAAACAGATAGGAATTGCTCCTATGAAGCCAAGGCCCAACTGTGAAACTGTGTATAATTGTGTATATGGAAATAACATACACTATAATTGTGTGTATAGAAACAATTGGATAATTGTGTATGTAGAAATAACATGCACTAACATAGTCCAATTCCTCATAGTTTTAAAGGTGGTTGTGATTTACACATTGACATTTTATGGGTATAAAACTCAATTTTTCACATGTAAAGCATTGAAAAGTTAAAGGCTTCAGTGTAAAATATTTATTTCTGAAATGTATTAAAACTAGACCAGTTGCATTACTATCTCTTTGTTTCATTACTTTCCTCCCAGCTGTAAAGATGGAGATCATTTGACTGTTGTTGCAACTTAAATTCTAATACAGTGCTGTTAATCTAGTCCTTCATTCCTTGCAACCAAGAGTATAAAATGCATATTACACTGCATATTACACTGGAAAACTACTTAATTATTTATATCATCATGTGTTTGGGGCTGGAGCAATAGCCACAGTGGTAGGGCGTTTGCCTTGCACGCAGCCAACATGGGCTACCCGAGTTCAATTCCTCTGCCCCTCTCGGAGAGCCCGGCAAGCTACTGAGAGTATCTTGCCCGCATGGCAGAGCCTGGCAAGCTACCTGTGATGTATTCGATATGCCAAACACAGTAACAACAAGTCTCACATGGAGACATTACTGGGCTCGCTCGAGCAAATCGATGAACAACGGGAGGACTGTGACCGTGATCATGTGTTTATTCTGTCTTAAAGACTACACCAATTCTTTTTTTTTTTTGCTTTTTGGGTCACACCCAGAGATGCACAGGGGTTACTTCTGCCTCTGCACTCAGGAATCACCCCTGGCGGCGCTCAGGGCACCATATGGGATGCTGGGAATCAAACCCGGGTCGGCCGCATGCAAGGCAAACGCCCTACCCGCTGTGCTATTGCTCCAGCCCCTACACCAATTCTTAAGCTAGCCATAAATGTGTTTGGGAGTGTGCAGTTAGGGCAGAGAAGAGATCATTATGACAATAATAACTGGAAATGAACACTCTGGACAAGAACTGAGTGCTGAAAGGAGATAAAGGGCTATACTTTAAAACCTTTCAGCACCTGTATTGCAAACCATAAGACCCAAAAGGAAAGAGCGAAAGAGAGAGAAAGAGAGGGAGAAGAAAAGTGTCTGCCACAGAGGTAGGCTGGGTGGGTCGGTAGGGGGAGCTTTCAGGAGGGAAACCAGCAACAATGGTGGTGGTAAATGTACACTGGTGAAAGGGTGGGTGTTGGAACATTGTAAAACTGAAGCCCAATTAGAAACATCTTTGTAACTGTGTATCTTAAGATGTTTCAATAAAAAGTAAAAAAGAGTACCAATTATTTGCTGGAGCAGGCCAATAATGAGATTACTCTGTTTTAAGTGGCTAATCATTTTTCACTTAGTAGTTTTCAGTAGCATTCAAACTCCTATGATACCACAGTAAAAATATATCTTAGAACAAAGTCACATTCATGGAGGATTCTAAAATATGTTGGTTCTGAAATTTGTTTTTTTTTTTTTACTTCAACTCCTCTTACTCTTTCCTAGAGGCCTTCTGTACTCCAGTGTTTACAAGTGGCCCAGAGAAAAATGGGTTCAATCTTGGCTTTATCAAAAATATCCAGCAAGTGTTTGGAGATAATAAGAAGTTCTGGTTGATACCTATTGGCTCCAGGTATGTTGTTATTACCACTGAAAGGCATTGATGCTTAACCATGAAAGCTATTTTTTTCATTGTTTACTTAAAGTATCCTTTTTATTTATTTTTTTTATTAGTGAAACACCATGAGGTACATTTATAGACTTACAAATTTTTGTGCTTGGGTTTCAACAATGATCAAGTACCCTTCCCTCCACCAGTGCCCATTTTCCACCACCACGGGTCCCAGTATCCCTCCCATCCCCTTCCCCCCCCCCCCCATCCCACCATGCTTCTGTGGCAGGGAATTACCTTTTGTTCTCTCTCCTTTTGGGTGTTGTGGTTTTCAAGAGAGGCATTGAGTGGCAATCATGTCTGGTCTATAGTCTACTTTCAGCATGCTTCTCCCGTCCTGGGAGGATCCTCCCAATACCCTTTACTTGGTGCTCCATTCTCTATCTGAGCTCCCTTTTCTCCTAGCACGTGTGGCTGGCCTCCAAGCCATGGAGCAAAATTCCTAGTACTTATCTCGGCCACTCTTGGGTGTTAGTCTCCTATTTTGTTACTTTATGTTCCCCAGATGAATGCAATCTTTCTGTGTCTATCCCGCTCTTTCTGACTCATTTCGCTTAACATGATACTTTCCAAGTAGTACCACTTGTATGTAAATTTCATAACTTCATGAATGCAGTATGTCTCAGTCCAGTGTGAAACTATTCCCCATATTTTTCATTTCTAGGTTAAGAAACAATTAGTCAGGAGACCAGAGTAAAATAGACATTCTTATGTTTTGTGGAGTTTTCATGTTTGCATGTTTTATAAACTGCTACCACTCTTCTATAAATGAGTGTGATAAGATCTATCAAAAAATCAAAACCTACATTCTTATTGTATCAGATTTCCAGTTCTGAGGTTCTCATATCTTAAGTATAGGTAAAACTCGAAATAAGACTATTTATTGTGGCATTAGATACAATATTATGTAGTTAAAAGTGTTAGTTATTAGGGCTGGAACGATAGCACAGCTGGTAGGGCATTTGCCTTGCACGTGGCCAACCCAGGTTCGATTCCCAGCATCCCATATGGTCCCCCGAGCACCACAGGAGTAATTCCTGATTGCAGAGCCAGGAGTAACCCCTGTGCTTCTCCAGGTGTGACCCAAAAAGCAAAAAAAGTGATAATTATTAAAACTATCTCATGTCAAGGAGAAATATTGCATTTAAAATTAAAATTGTAGAATTCAATATGATCTCCACACCATGATTTTAAATATATACTTATAGAGACAGAAAGAATACAATAAAGGGGAAATGTACTCCACAAAAAAAACTATAAGTAGTAATAATAGTAGTCTCAGAAATTGTTTCTCTTTCCTCCATTTTAATAATCTAGGGTGGAATGCATATATTACTTTTATGAAGTAAACAATAAAACAAGACAACACAATTGACATGGAGATTGTAGGAAATTCTCAGAGTTGAAATAGGAATAAAGGGAAATAGTGAAGTAGAGATGAACTTGTTACCTGAGCAACTTTGTGAACCAGACAAAACCACCATCAACTAAGTTATCTCTGAAACAAAGCATAATTTTTTAAAATTCATTTACCGTGAGGTACAGTAACAAAGCTTTCATGTTTGAGTTTCGATCATACAGTTCTCCAACACCCATCCCTTCACCAGTGCACATTGTCCACCACCAAAATCCCCAGTAACCCACCTCCTCCAATTTCACACCTCCCCCTGCCTGTGTGGTAGACAACTTGCACAATACTCTTTCTCTAGTTATCTTCGGTATTTTGAGACCAAATCCACCACCACTCATACCTGCCGAAAAGGCAATGCTAGACAATGTGATTTGTGTTGTTTGTTATCGATGCAATATAATGTTGCACATCTGTGAGAGCATCCGCGCGCTGTAGAAGTTTTAAAATTTTAATAATTAGGATCTGAAGACTCATTTATTTTTTAAAAATGTTCTGAGTAAACTACACAAAATTCCAGGTATATTTAATTTGAGTTAGCTTAAAAATTATACCAAAATAATTGCACTAATTTAAACAAGGCACAGTTTTTTTAAATCACAATAGTTTTTTTAAAATTTTTTTATTGAATCACCTTGAGATACAGTTACAAGCTTTCATGTTTGAGTTTCAGTCATACGATGATCAAACACCCATCCCTCCACCCGTGCACATTCTCCACCACCAATGTCCCGAGTATACCCCCCCCCGTTCAAACCCTCCCCTGCCTCCGTGACAATTTCCCCCATACTCTACTTTGGGGCTGATATTATGGTTTGCAATGCAGATACTGAGAGGCTATCACATTTGGTTCTTTATCTACTTTCAGCACACATTTCCCATTGCGAACGATTCCTCCAACCATCATTGTCTTAGTGATCCCTTCTCTATTTCATCTGTCTTCTCCCCCAGCTCATGATATAGGCTTCCAAATACAGGGCAATATTCCTGGCCCTTGTGTCTACTGTACTTGGGTGTCAGTCTCATATTATGTTATTCTATATTCCACAAATGAGTGCAGTCCTTCTATGTCTGACCCTCTCTTTCCAACTCATTTAACTTAGCCTGATACTCTCCCTGACATCCATGCTCTGATGATTTTCTTTTTCTTTTTTATATGAATTTATTTATTGAATCACCATGAGAGCAGTTATAAAGCTTTCGGGTTTATGTCTCGGTAATACAATGATGAAACACCCATCCCTTCACCAGTGCACATTTACCACCACCAAAAACACCAGTGTACCCCCCAGCCCACACCCTCCCCCTACCTGTGTGGCAGATGTTTTCTACATTATTCTCTCTCTACTTTGATTACATTCAATATTTCGACACCAGACCCACCATTATTATTTGGGATTTTACCTCAATACTTACATCTGCCAAAAAAGGCAACATTAGACAATTTGTTTTCTATTGATGATAATGAATAGCATATGATTTTGTAATTCTGAAATCTTAGTAATTAAATTTGATTCCACTGCCCCTCTCGGAGAATCTGGCAAGCTACCAAGCGTATCTTGCCAGCATGGCAAGGCCTGGCAAGCTACCCATGGTGTATTCGGTATGCCAAACACAGCAATAACAATTCTCTCAATGGAGACATTACTGGGCCCACTTGAGCAAATCAATGAACAACGGGAGGACAGTGCTACAGTGCAGTGCTGATAATTAAATCTGGAGGGATTTCTGCCAAAAGCTGCTAGGTTCTGAGATTTGTTTCTGAGTCTCTGGGATCATGGCTGAAGCAACTTGTTGAGTAGCCTGTTCATGGGCAGTGACTGGAGTCTCTTTGGGGCGGGGGAGGGAAGATCCAGCCCCATCCCCATCCCATGAGGCCCCACGTGTCTCGTCACTGCCCCCACCTGGCTGTCCATAGACCTCTGGAAGATGGCGGACCCTGAGCTGCCAAGGGAAACAGGCCAAGGCATGAAACCTATTCCCACCTGTGGTGGCCCAGTGCTGGTAACCTAATGCTGAGTCCAAACACATTTCTTCCAAAAGCCACTGGGTTCTGAGAATTGTTTCTGAGTCTCTGGGATCATGGCTGAAGCAGCTTGTTGAGTAGCCAGAGGGCCATCACAATAGTTTTTAATGATGTTAAACAACACACTGAAGGAAAAAGGTTTGAGTAGAGGAGTAGAATATAACTAAAATGATGTACTTGATCATTGTATAATTTTGTTTTACTAGCTAATATTTTAATAAATATATGCGTATCAGCCACACAAAGTGTCATGATATTGATTGATTGGTTTGGTTTTGGGACCACACCCACCTGTGCTTGGGGCTTACTCCTGGCTGGCTCCATGTAAGACAAACCTTACTTGCTAAACTGACTTTTCAACACCACCTTGATTTTTTTTGCAAGTACTTTAAACTTAGAACTACTACTCTGTCAAAATATTGAATCCAATAGAAATAATGCCTTAATGATATTATTAATTTTGAATTTCTAATTTGTTGAAAGTGCATTTTATGCAATATACAGTGGGTAGGGCATTTGCCTTGCATGTGGTCAACCCGGGTTTGATTCCTCAGTCCCTCTCGGAGAGCCTGGCAAGCTACTGAGAGTATCCTGCCTGCACAGCGGAGCCTGGCAAGCTATCTGTGGCATATTCAATATGCCAAAAACAGTAACAAGTCTCACAATGGAGACATTACTAGTGCCTACTCAAGCAAATCAATGAACAAGAAGAGGACAGTGAGTGCTACAGTGCTACAGGGTCTGAAGAGGTCGCTGCAGCAAGTTGCTCAGGACCTATGTTCATTTGTGTGTCTCTGCATCCTGGCCATGTGGAAGCTTAAATAGATGGTGGCCAGGTGTGGCATCATCTCAGAATAGTGGGGCAGGGGGATGGAGGAGTGCCCACTCCTCCCCCACGTGAGGAATGGCATTTGGCGCCACCATCATTTGTACCTGGAGCTTTTCGCTGGCTTCTAGAAAATGGCATCCACTGGAGTTCCTAGGTGGTAGGTGGAGGGACAGCACCTACCACCGTCTGGAGCAGCCCAGCGGAAACGGCCAAAAGCATAATTATTTATAGTTATCTTGCAGCCCATTTTAGAACCACCCTTAGAGCTGCAACCGTTTTTTCATTTATATGAAGAAATGTAATTGGAATAGAAGAATTTTTTTTTATGTAGGAGTACTGCTATTTATTCAGCCACTGATTAGCTGATTGATTTGGGCATGAACTCCACCTTACTTTTTTTCATAGTTTTATTTATTTATTTGTCTTCTTATATTTATTTATTGAATCACAGCCTCTCAGTATCTATATTGCAGGGCTGGAGCTATAGCACAGCGGTAGAGCATTTGCCTTACAAGCGGCCAACATGGCCGACCTGAGTTCAATTCCTCCACCCGTCTCGGAGAGCCCGGCAAGCTACCGAGAGTATCTCGCCCGCATGGCAGGGCCTGGCAAGCTACCCGTGATGTATTCGATATGCCAAACACAGTAACAACAAGTCTCATGATGGAGACGTTACTGGGCCCGCTCGAGCAAATCGATGAACAACGGGAGGACCGTGAATCACCGTGAATCTATATTGCAAACCATAATGCCCCAAATTAGAGAGTATGGGGGAAATTGTCTGCCATAGAGGCAGAGAAGGGGTTTGATGGGGGAGTATACTGGGGACATTGGGGGTGGAAAATGTGCACTGGTGGAGAGATGGGTGTTCGACTATTGTGTGACTGAAACTCAAACATGAAACTTTGCAACTATATCATGGTAATTTAATAATAATAAAAAAGAAATCAAGGGGAAAGAAGAGAATGGGATGTAATGGGTGAACAGGGGTCAGAACTTCAGTTATAATTGTGATATGGTTGAGTGGTATAGCCAAATCTGCAGAACACAGAGTCAGCAACACTGAAAACATGGGTTCTAAACTACAACCACGAAACTTTGTAATATGCTTGTGAAGTTGACAGGCGGGGAATGGGGTGGAATTGTGGGTGGAAAGTGAATATGGAAACATTGGTGAAGCGAAGTTGACACTGGTGGTAGGATTGATGTTGAAGTATTATATGTCTAAAACTCAATTATCAAAAAAATGAGCTGTGGAATATCCCACTATCCTAGCTATAAACCACCAAATAAAACTGTGCCAGTGGGTAATGTTGACTAATAATTGTACCTCTCCCTTTTTCTCTCTCTTTCACACACACACACTCATGTCAAAGGTCTAAGATGAGTCTTGTATTATAAAGAACAATGAAAAACTCAAAACCTTTTACATTATAATTACTATACCTATATCCTCTGTAAAAGATCTATAATAAGATCAGTCAACTTTCAATTAGCACTTTTACAAACAAGACGAAACCATAAGTAATATCAATAAATAATCTGAAAGTCATTCAGACATAGTTTAATGTATTCAAATATATATACTTATTACTCAAATAATAACTTTTCTAGCCAAGACTAGTTAAATCTCATATAATTCCCATCTGTTAAGGACAGACTAAACAGTGAGGTCGCCCTGTAAACATAGGTGTCCACAAAGTAAATCCTATGCATAGATAATTGCTCCAGAATCTACACTTTAGAGATTTATCATTTTAGTCCTTTCTCTGAAAACTTCAGAAACTTTCTGTTATATATGCCAAATAGCAGGACACTCAGACTTTACTGTCTGTCACCAATTAACCAGACAAATCGCTCCACCAACTAAGAACGGCCATGCACCACCACCCACGGAATCGAGAAAGAGCTATCAATCTGTCAATCCTGTCCGTGTCCGGGTCGGGTGAGGTTTCCCGTGTTGAGTCAAATTAAGCCGCAGGCTCCACTCCTGGTGGTGCCCTTCCGTCAATTCCTTTAAGTTTCAGCTTTGCAACCATACTCCCCCCGGAACCCAAAGACTTTGGTTTCCCGGAAGCTGCCCGGCGGGTCATGGGAATAACGCCACCGCATCGCCAGTCGGCATCGTTTATGGTCGGAACTACGACGGTATCTGATCGTCTTCGAACCTCCGACTTTCGTTCTTGATTAATGAAAACATTCTTGGCAAATGCTTTCGCTCTGGTCCATCTTGGGCTGGAGCGATAGCACAGCGGGTAGGGCGTTCGCCTTACAAGCGGCCAACATGGCCGACCCGAGTTCGATTCCTCCGCCCCTCTCGGAGAGCCCGGCAAGCTACCGAGAGTATTCAATATGCCAGACACAGTAACAACAAAGTCTCCAATGGAGACGTTACTGGGCCCGCTCGAGCAAATCGACGATCAACGGGAGGGCCTTTACCTTTACCTTTACCACCAATTAACAGCAATTTATCTTCACTGTATTCAATAATTTTGAAAGTGCTAGATTTTCCCCACTTTATTTAAACACTGTGGTTTACAAAGTTGTTCATGATGACTTGTTACAGGAATTCATTATTCCAATACCAATTCCACTACTACTGTCACCTTCCTTCCACCACTGTCTACACTTTCCCAACATCCCCTCATGCCTGTCCCCATAGCAGGCCCATAATAATTTATTTTATGTTGCTTGTTACAACTACATGGCTAACAAGATGATAAAATATTTCTCTAGAAAAAAATTGTGAAAATTGTTGATTCTCAACATGGTGACATTAAGTCCTTGTATGAGAGTGTACTAAGCTGTTGTAAGTTAAGCCTTCTTTGTTAATGTTTTTGTTAGTGGAGATTGGTTGTCTTCTGTGTTACATCCCATCCAATCTGGTGTGCTACTATTGGGATATCAATGTTGTAGAGTTTGGAAATGTCTTCAGAAAATCCAGAATATTTTATTGGACAGTTTGGCTAGAGGCAAAATGGTGGCTTTGGCGTGTGGAAGTGGCTGTCGGGCCTTTGTTAGGGAGGAAGCTGGCCTGCTTCTTCCCTTCTGAGATTGTCCTGGCGGTCTCAGCCAGAAACGGGTCTCTGAAAAATTTTTGCAACTTGTGATCTCTTTCAAGATTTATTTATGAGTCTCTGGAACAAGGCCAGTAGATGAGCTTATGTGGCAGTAATGGTGGTTCATGGGTGTACTGGATGTTCCAGAGGTATGGGGAGGTCACCCATCCTGATGCCAAGAAAACCTGGAGTTTTCAGTCAAAAGGACTTATGTATCTTAAGTTTTTGACAGATTAGGTTCTATATGAGGATCAGTCCTGATGTGGAGTCATGCTGGAGGCATGGCAGTGGCTTTGGGGTGTGATAATGGCTGCCAGGGCTTTGTGAGAGCTGGCCCCCACATCCGAGATCACCCCCAAAGTTCTCATCCATGCAAGAATGGGTGTCTGAGAAATTTTTGCAGCTAGTTGATCTCTTTCAATATTTATTTATGATTTTTTGAACAAGGCCAATAAATGAGCTTACATTTATGATTTTCTTGAACAATGCCAAGAGTTGAGCTTACAGAAGTGGTGGGATGTGGGTGTTATGCCGGGTCTTCCAGAAGTTTGGGGAGGTGGGGGAAGGGATGTCACCAATCTTGACTCCAAGAAGGCCTGGAATTTTCTGAATGTGCTGGTTTTTATTAAAAAAAATGAGAATCAAAACAGAAAAGAATATAAATTGGTGTCATCATGGATCATTCAGTATTTATAAAGCTTGTTGTTTGTGCATAGTGCCATATCAGAGATTTTGGGAAAAAAACTAAAGGAGTTGTTTACAAACAAAAACATTCAACACTAAGACAGAAACATCTAAGTTCTAGAAACTGAAAGCAGTGCAGTAACTGGTGCTAATGGCAAAATTTACTCCACCATCCACCATAGCTTTTGCTAATAGCTGCATAGTTTAAATTTTTCAAAGAGCTCCAACTCTAACTATAAAACTTATAAATCAGTGTTTAATTTTTTTAGGGTTCAGAGTGTTAATACAGCAGTTAAGGTGTTTGCTTTCCATGTGACCGATCCAGGTTTGGTCCCTTGCACCCATATGGTTTCATGAGCACCACCAGGAGTATCCCTTAAGTGCAGAGCCAGGAGTAACCCCTCAACATAGCCGAGTGTGGCCCAAAATCAAAATAAATAAATATGACTTTATTAGTTGCAGGAGCTCACTCTTTCTTTTCTCCTCCAGCCCTGGTGATGGACACTCCTTCCCTATCAGGTCTGTAAATGAGTCACAGAACCCACTGCTAGCAAATGAAGAACCCTGGGAAGACAATGAGGATGACAACCAAGGTAAGAAGGCTTGAGAGTAAGTAATTTCTCCAATAGGCCAAGTATTGATTGTATTAGACAGGCTAAATAATGTAGTGTTGTGAGGAAACTGTCCAGAAACATAATATATGCATGTCAAACTCATAAGTTACCTTTAGTTGCAAACGGAAAAATGTGACCAAATCTTTTTAGAAAATAAGGTGGCTTAGGTAAAATTAGATAGCATCTTGGATTGTTTGTTAACAACTTTGTGGAAACATGAATAGTAACCAATCAGATGTATCAGGAAACAATAATTGTTGCTGTGCATGTTTTTTAAAATTTCCTATGGCTTGGTCATGCTTCTCAAAATTTAATATCAGTCACTTAATATGATCAATAGACAGCTCACCTTTATCTATCATATTTCTTCATATTAATTATTTCATTTAAATATTATAATCAGTATGCTAATTTATCTTTTAGAATAGTTTAAATACACAAAACAATAACAAATAGTGGCAAACCTACACATGCATACAGAGGGGTAAAGGAAAAATAAGGAAGCAGAATGTGACCCTTGTACATTTCTCTCACCAGAGTATTTGGATGAACTTGAAAATTTTTGAGAAGATCTTTTGTGTGCCCCCATTGCCACCTATTCTTTGTCTCCACATAATGTTGTGGTCAGTACTGTGCCTCAAACATCTATTTATGTTGCTGATATCAGCTCTCAGAGAATAAGTTTTAGTGTCTGATAATAGTAACATAATAGCTCATAGATATTTTGAGTGGAAGATTTAGTAGTTATTACAAACTGTATTTGAAATGAGTGAGGCTTAATAAAGGCATGGATGCTACGGACATAGGAAGTAGAGATGGGGAACAGACTTTCTTAATATTCTCACAAGTTCTGTATGCAGAAATCCAACTTTAGGGCAATGAATGATACTAGTGCTAAAAAAACAGCAAAATAGTCCAAAATTCATTTTTGTAAAAGACGAATTCTGGGACAGAGAGACAACCAACTAAGCTGAGTGCATGCTTTGTATGCAGGAGGCTACTTTCAATCCCTAGCACCACATGGTTCTGCCAGCACTGCCAGGAATGACACCTGATCATAGAGCCAGGAGTAACCCTCTAAGTATCACCAGATGTGGCTGGCCTGAAAAAAAAACCCGAAGAGTCTATTCCCATCTGAAACAACTTTAAAAACATAAGTAACTTCCTAACTTCATTTTGCTGATTTTATTGAAAAAGATACTGTCTTTTGTCCTACATTCCTTCAGCTACCAATTTTCTGAAAAGGCTTAATTACAGAAGTTCCAGGGAATGATATTTTAATTTTGGTATTAAGAAGTGTAAACTCTTAAAAAATAAGAAATATATAGGATCATGAGCTGGTTTTAAATGCTTCCATAATAAAAAATTCTATTCAAACCTGAGACTAGTGTAGCAAGGCAACACTTCAAATATATATTTAGAATTAGAGTTTTTTAAATTAGTGTTAAGGCAGTCTCAAACGGAAAACATTTTTAAAAAATCAAAATAATGAAAGTTTATATTTTGCATTTTTATATATTTTTGTTATTATTGCAGTTTAACCTGTTTATAATAGTAATGATTTTTCTGATTTTAATGTAGAGTTACTATACCTCACCACCAAAAAATTACCCATTTAAATTTCACCAAGATCCTTATGTTACTTCTGGTCTGCCTCTTCATTCATCCCCATTGATCCAGTACCTTACTTGGTACACATTTTCTTTAATACAAAGCCAATCATATATCATAGTATGATACTGTGTATTCCCTTGTTTAGTTTCTCTGTATATCACAAATGAGTGAGTTCATCAGGAATGTTTCATTCTCCCTGACTTATTTTGCTTAATATGATACCCTGAAGTTCCATCTACATTAAACTGCAATATATAACCTTTTCATATAGCTGAATAATATTCTGTTATGTATACAATATACAATTTTTTTACCTATTCATCTGTCGTTGAACATTTGGGTTGTTCCCGTATCCTCGTTTTTATACTAAGTGCTATAATGAAAAGGTGTGCATATATTGTTCTTCAATTAATGTGTTTAATTTTGGGTGGGTATATGCCAAGTAATGGAATCACTGGGTCATATCGAATTTCCATTTTTATTTTCTAAAAGAAATCTCCATATTGTTTCTCATAGATGTTCAACCAGATGACATTCCTACAGAATGTGGAATAGGGTTCTTTCTCACTCCATATTTACTGACACTAGTTGTTTCCAACCTTTAGTATCTAAGCCATTCTTACTGGTATATGATGATACTTCATACTTGCTTTTATTTACAGTTTTTCCGATAATAAGTGACAATAAACACTTTTTCATATGCCTACTAGCTGTTTATATATCCTCTTTTAGGAAGTGCATTTTCATCTCCTATTCCCATTTTTTGATGGGGATCTTTAGAGTTTTGTTGTTAAGCTATAGAATACTTTATCTCTCTTGCATATTAGTTCCTTATCTTATATGTAGGTTGTGAATATTTTCTCCCTTTCACTAGATGACTTATTACTTAGTCCTGAGTTTATTTTTTATGCAAAATCTTTATTTGTTGTAATCCCATTAGTTTATTTTTATGTTATCCTTGCTAGTGGAGTTAAATTATTGAAAACACCTCTGTGCTTCATACCCAGGAGAGTTAAGCTATGTTTTTTAAATGTGTTTTACGGACTCTTGTCTTATCTCTAGGTCTTTTTAAAAATTTTTTTATTTTATAAGATCATTCACAATATTTTATTACTGTTAATATTCAAACACCAATCCCACCACCATTACACCTTCCCACCACCAAATTTGGGATGTTTCCATCCCAAGCCCCAATCCCTGTCAACCGAAATCATATATTTTGTATTGCCTGTTATGGAAAACCGCTGAAAATGCTATAAAAAGTATCCATTAGAGGAGACAATGTGATGATTGTTCTATTTTGGCAGGGGCTATTAACACATTCTTTAGAATATCACTAACATGTTGCTAACGGTTGAGTGATATGAGTTTTCATGTATATGTCTATATGAAACTATGTATATAAGCATACATATGTGTATATTTTTCCCTCTATGATTTGTTGCCTACTATGTGAACCCCATCAAATGTGGTGTGGTACTTACGGAGAATGGGTAGAGAGTGTCTTATGATGTGCGTATGGTCCAGGAATACATTCACTCATACTTGAGACTTGGCCAAGCGTGTGGGGAATGGCCTTGAGCATGGCAGGTGGTTGGATTATGGAGGTTTTGGCTGCCAGAGCTGTGTCCCTTTGGCAGGGAAGGCTCTCACCCGCCCCCCCACCCCCACCCCGGGGCGCCCCAGGTGAAACAGCTTGGCTATGGTGGGTGTCATGTTACTCCCTTCTGGGAGAAAAAGCCATGTGATCTGGATGGTGCCCAAGGAGGAGATTCTCTGCCACCCACAGGAGGTGGCTTCTGGGTGTGACCACTGGGTCGCCAGAGACTGGGGGAAATGAGCAGAGGATCTCCTCTCCTGGTCCGGTTGTAAGCTCTAGGTATTTAATCCATTTTTATTAGAGTTTATCCTAAGTCTTTTCAGAATGTCATTGGGACTTTGATTGTTATTGTATTAATTCTGTATAATGCTTTGTATAATATGGCAATTTTAGCAATGTTAGTTCTTGCAACTTATGAACATGGAATAGTTTTCCATTTCCTTGCATCCTATTTTCATTTCTTTAAATAGTGACTTGTAGCTCTCTGTGTATAAGTCTTCACATTCTTTGTTAAGTTGATTCCTCGGTATTTAATTTCAGGGACATGTATTAATAATTTTAATTAATTTTAAGCACCATGACTTAAAATACTGTTAATAACAGAGTTCTATGCATGTGATGTTTCAACACCACTCCTTCTACCACAGTGCAAAGCCCCTCAACCTAATCCTGTTTTCCCTACCCTGCTATGCTCAGCTTTGTAGACCAGTTCTCAGATTTTTTGCCTTTGACAATTTATTATTCCTTATTCCCTTCACTTCCCTTTCCTTTCCTTCCCTTCCCTTCCCTTCCCTTCTCTTCCCTGCCCTGCCCTCTGATACCTTTCCCTACCCTACCATACCCTTCCCTTCCCTCCCCTCTCCTTCTCTCCCTTCCTTCCATTCCTTTCCCCTTACCCTCCTCTCTCCTCTTCTCTCCTCCCCTCTCTTTTATTTCCACTCCCCTCCCCTTCCTTTCTCTTCCTTTCCACTCATCTCTCCTCTCCTTTCCCTCCTCTCCCCTCCTCTATTTTTCCATTCATTTCCTTCCCTTCTCCCCTCCCCTTCCATTCCTCTTCCCCTCCCTTCTCTTCCTTTCATTTCCCTTCCTTTCTCTTCCTTTCCTTTCCCCTCCCTTCACTGCCACTTCCCTCCGCTTCCTTTCCCCATTTCCCTCCCTCCCTTTCCTTTCCCTTGTTTTCCTTTCCCCTCCTCATTCCTCCCCTTTCTCTCCCCTCCTTTCTCTTTTCCTTCCTTCCCTTCCCATCTTCTTCCCTCCCCTTCCACTTTCCTTCCCTTCCCTTCTCTTTCATTCCTTTTCCTTCTCTACCCTACCCTTCTCCAACTTTTCTCTTCCTTTCTCTTTCCCTCCCCTCCCCTTCCCTTCCCCTTCCTTTCCATTCTTTTCTCCAACTTTTCCTCTCTGCTCCCCTACCCTTCCCATTTCCCTTCTCTTCACACCCATTTCCTATTCCCTCCTCTCGTCTCTCCTCCCCTTTCCTTCCTTTTACCTTTCATTCCTTTCCCCTCCTTTACCTTTCCATCTTTTGTTTTTGTTTTTGGGCCACACTCACTCTGCATTCAGATTATTCTGGTAGGCTCACAGGATCATATGGGGTGCTGAGGAATAAACCCATGTCTGCCACATGCAATGGAAATGCACTATCCATTGTATTATAGCTCCAACCCTCACTTATTATGTTTCTTTATATTACACATATGAAGAGCTATTATTCTGTATCCATCCCTTTCCTTCTCACTTAGTTCTCTCAACATGATACAATGAG